TTTGGTCAAACTTTCTCCAAATTGAAATCCGTTCGCACCGTTGCGATCAGACAGTCGAATTCTATTCAACGACATACTTTTCATAATTATTTGTAATACTTTTTCTGACATCATATTTTTGGGTGGTTGACTTTGATAGAGTAAAAATTGGTTTAATTGACTTTTCTCATAAAAGGTTCTCTTATTTAATTCATATCAACAAGTATCACACCCGTGCGTTGCACGGGTCGCAATTACGTTGTAAATTTAAATTGGTATCATTATAAAAGGAAAGAAATACAACTTATAATGAAATATAATATTTTGTAGTATTGCAAAGCATCTATAAATTACAAATTATGAAAAACCTCTTTATAAACTACATTAGTGGTACATTTTGTTGAGACATCCTCTGCGTTGCAAATAAGATTTTTCAGGCCATTACAATTTGTTACCCTTGAAACCGCAACATATAATTGTCCATGATGACTAAATACAGGTTTCCGTAACAATAATCCCACGTGTTTTAAAGATTGGTCTTGACTCTTATTAATCGTCATTGCATAAGAAGTAACCACATGAAATTGTCTTTTTTGAAACTTGAATGGTATTCTTGCATTAGATGGTGTCAGTGATAGTCTTGGAATAACAACTTCTTGACCCATGTGTCTTCCAGATAAAATCTTTCCTTGGATCGAGTGATTAGCCAATCGAGTTACTATCAATCGAGTACCATTACACAAACCCATTGAATGATCAATAGTTCTTAGTAACATAATCGGGGTGCCTACCTTCAAAATTAGTTTTAAACTCAAGTTTAATATTCACATCACATATAAGTACATTTACAAAGTAATATGAATGAAGTATAGGTAGTAAAATGTTTTCGAAGTTCAAATAAATGATTATTGAAGGAGCGATAAATAAGGCAAAAATTATCGAAGTACAAATAAATGATTATTGAAGAGCAATAAATGAAGGAGCGAAGTACAATGAATATTTACACGGGTCATATCTTATAAATAAGGCAAAAATATTTACACGCATTAAATATAAATCTTTCCTTTTTTGTTCGCAGCATTGTATCCACCCTTTTTTTTGTTCGCATACACCTTTCCAAAGTTGACCACACACCCATTATAATATATGGTTTGTTTTAGAAGTTGAGAAGAATATACCATCGTATTGTGGATTGTGGATCTCGTAAATGGGATCACAATTTATACGAAAATATTATTTTCGTAAAAGGAAACGAATGGGTAATTGGTAAATCAAATTATTGGTAAATCAAATTATAAATGCGTAGAACCTCTTTTTTAATATATTGAATTATTGCCAAAGAAGTCAAATTGGTAGCTTTCCTTTTTTCCACAAAATCAAGTAATAAATATACGGATTTTAATAAATGCGTAGAAACTCTTTTTTAAAATTACTTTAGTTTACTTTTTTAAAAATATGTTTATACCGTTCTTTTTTTAACTACCGTTCTTTTATTTAGTAAACCTGTGCTGATTTTATGACGAAATCATGTAATGAATGCATGTGTTTCCTAAAATATTTTTTTATAATAGAATGAAAGGTATATATACGTTATGAAGTAAAAGGTATATATTGCGGAATCTTTAATTACCTTTGTTTAAAAACGTCTCATAGAAAAGGAAGCTTATTAATCATTGATTATAGTTTCTAAACTTGAAACTAACGGGTTTCTTTACCAAATTTCTGACAAATCTAGTTACATAAATTAAGGTAATCACCACATTAATTGAGAATCGTGTTTTATTTCGTTCCTCCATGTATCTTTATTTTACCTTTCATTAGGAAAACGTGTGATAAAAAAAGAAATTTTATTAATCATTAATCATAGGGATTCATAGCTTCTAAACCATAATATAACACACGGGTTTCCTTTACCAATTTTTTCACAATTTTTATTACCTTGACTAAGGTAATCACCTCATTAATTGAGAATGGCGTTCTATTCCGTTCCTCCATGCATTAATTTAAAACGATATAGTTTAACAACGCATGTTCAAAAAGGAAGTTTATTAATCGTACCTTTTAAACCATTATTCTTCTAGATTTTTAGATTCATAACTTTTTGTTAGTTTTATAAAAAGTCAGTTTACTTTTACAAACGGGGCTAAAAATTACGCATGTTTCTAAAATCATTATTTTTTAGTCAGTTAATTTTTTTAGAATTAATAATGGCTCGTTTTAAAAGCATGCACTAATATATTTCCTTTTCTATAATGTTTAAAAATTACGCTAATTATTAAACCATTATTTTTAATAACGCATGTTTCTTAAACCATTATTTTTAGTCGGTTAATTTTTTTAAAATTAATAATGTCTTGTTTTTAAAAGCATGCACTAATATAATTCCTTTTTTTTTAATGTTTAAAAATTGCGCTAGTTATTAAACCATTATTTCTTAGCTTGTTAATTTTATTTTTTTCTTGAATTAATGATGTGTCGTTTAAAAGCATGCATTAATATATTTTCTTAATTAAGGAAATAATTGCCTGAATTACATCGTATCATATTTCCTTAAAATACACACGGCATTAATTTTGGTAATAATTGGGAATACACACGGTATTAATACTGTAAATACACATGGTATTAATTTTGGTAATTAAATAAAAACGCATTAAATATACACGTTATTTCCCATTTTTATCTCGAGAAATACACATGGATTAATAATAACCGTAGACTAAATGTAATAGATTAAAATGGACGGTCCATAGATGATAGTCATTGGGCGGGAAAAAGCATGGGCATAATTCCCCTGCTTTTAAGAATAGGATGATTATTCTCATGATTTATTTTAACAAATCATTTAAATATTTACATTATAAACAAATTTTTCATTTACTCTTGTTTGGGTCTGTACTCAGGTTTCCAATCAAGACCACACAAAAAGTCAATATATTGGATTTATCTCTATGAGATTTATCCAGAGTGTGATAATAGATATCAAAACATATTTCGTATCGGCCCAAAGCCCAACAACAATTTATTTTAATCAAAACAAATTTGTTTAAACGAATAATTATTTAATAATAATTCTAGGGTATGTTTCGGGGCGTTACACATACACCTAAGACAACTCTACCAAGGACAAGCTAGACATGAGAGATTTCAAATCTCCAAAGCTCTCTTTAGTTGCAAGTTGTCAGTTGGAAACCCCGTTGGTCCGCATGTTCTCAAGATGATTGGCTACGTCCAAACTCTTGAGAAATTGGGTTTCGAACTAAGGACTGAACTTGCAACTGATCTGATTTTGCAATCGTTTCCAGAGTTGTACAGGCAGTTTGTGGTTAATTACGACATGCATGAACTCGATAAACCACTACCAGAACTTTTGAAGATGCTGCAAACTGCTGAAGAGAGCTTGACGAAAGGAAAGGGGAATTCCGTCCTTCTAGTTCAAGGAGGAAAAGGCAAGAAGAAGTTCAAAAAGGCAAACAAGAATGGGCCTAAAGGCAAGGGTAACACCGAGCCAAAGTCCAATTCTTCCAAGCTCAAGCCTAAATGTAATGCCCTGAAACCCGGCTTAGTAGTTAGCCGTTATTTTAATAAAGATGAATAAATTATTCATTGACTTCAAATATGAATTATTTGTAAAGTTCACCATTTTAATTAAAAATTAGGTTTTTGGGTATATCTCGTAAAATGGTGATCAACTATATATAATTTGTTAAATTTGGACTTTCGTGTACACCGCGATAAAGAAAAGGGAGAAAGACCAAACTAGGACTAAAACATTGAAAATATACCAAAATAGGACTTCCATGTTTTTATTCACGAAATAGGACTTACATTACCAAACATGGTCATATACATTACCAAAAAAGTATAGTAATTTGCACATGTACACTGTCACATTACCACAATGTAAAGTCACATTACCAAAGTGCAAAGTCCTATTCCGAGAAAAAAAATATGAAAGTTCTATTTTGGTACTTTTCTCTATGTTTTAGTCCTATTTAGGATGATTTCTATAAAAAAAAATAGACGTTACAGTTCAATAAATAAAATAAAGCATTTTTAAAATAAAATATTATAAATCTAATAACCCACGTCCTATTCCTATGCCATTTGGGAAGTCTAAAAGTCATCCAAAAAATACCGTTATATACACATAGAGAGACCTCTGCAGCGTTTCATCATCTTCCTCATTCTTCTCTGCGCGTCGGACCGGAGTCAGTGGAGTTACGCCGGAGTTGTCGCCGGAGTTTCAAGGCGAGAAATTTGAGTCCTTCGTAGGTTAATCGAGGTGAGTGATTTATCTCTCGCTAGAATTAATTTGTAGATTAGGATTCGTTAATATAATATCTCCAATTGATGTTGAATTTGTGAATTGGATTGTTGAATCTCTTGGTTAATTGGAATTGACTGTATATTTGGAATGGGGATTGGGTTGGATAATGGTTATTTGCCTTTTTCGAACTTTTCTCTGCTATGTACTGTTCCGTCGCTCTCTCTGTACCTCATATGCTCTTCTCTGTTTGTTTCTCTCTCTGATCGGAGTCTCTGCTGTGTTGCTGACCAGGGAGGTCGTCGCCGGTGACCCTGCTGCTGGACAAGAAGTTCGCAGCCGCTGGTTTGAAGACTGTCGCGCGTTCCGGTTTGTAGAAGAGGAAGACGTGCCAGGCCGGTAGCGGGTACTCCTTTGACAATAGGATTGGGGATTTAAGTTTCTAAAATTGTAGATTGACCCCATGATCCTCAAGACTTTGCAATTAGGCCCTCTTCCATCCTATGCCTCTAAATCATAAATAAAGACCACAAACTAATCTAAGTCATTGTTTAAACTAATGAGTTAAGTAAACACAATTATGTGATTGAATTGGATTATGAGAATATGTCTCTTGGTATATCTAGGAAGGTTTGAATTAAACTGAATTAATAAGGATTAAGATTTAGGACTTAGGCCTGGTGGGGCGAGCTTCGCATAACTCATAGGTCTTGGGTTAAAAACGCACGTACGGGAGTCATTAGCCTACCTAGGGATTCCTTTGTAGGGGCTCCAACGTGCCCATTGAGGATACTCTTTGGGTCTCATCAAGCGTGGCCTTGGGGGATTCGTCCGAGTGTCCATGACTTAGTCAAAAGAAACCTTAGCCTATAGGCTTAAGTGTAGGAGAACAACAAGAACTGAATATAGATAAGTGAATAGTTGATCATGATATTTGATAATTCTTCTGATATTGTGTGATTATATATTGATGGGTGGTAGTCTATGAGTTAGTTCTAGCATTAGATACTTTCACTCTCCCTATATTTTTACAGTTAGAGATCAAGGACTGAATGAGGAGCAGCCTGGAGAATAGTGAAGCGTGACGCTGGTGGATGGCCCGATGCTGTTTGAAATTGAATTAAATACTTGTTGACTTTTATTTTGTTTTAACTACAAGAATGTTTGACGATGTTGTTTTAAAGGCTTCCGCAACGTTTTAATTATTTACTCTGATTAATTATGAATTGTTTTTCAATAAATATAAATGTTTGTTTTATTTCTAAGTATTTTTAAAATATTATGCATGTGAATACCAAATTAGTAACAACCCGATTCGCTAACTTATTGTTTCGGGTTATGCGCGTTGGGGTGTTACACTAAAGGTGGAGTGGCTAAAGATTCCATTTGTCATCACTGTGGTGAAGTTGGCCACTAGAAGAGGAATTGCAAGCAGTATTTGGCAACCAAGAAAAAGGGTGAAGCTTCTGCTTCAGGTACAATTGTTGTAAAGACTTAAACTAATCTACAATCTCTTCAAAAGTATTTGATACTTATAGTATTGCAAATCGTTGCAGGAACAGAAGAGAAGAAGTATGAGTGTTGATCTTGAAGATGCAAGGGTTGCAGCTCAGTGGCGCATTAGTTTAACTTTTTGTATTTGATCAGTTTTCAATTTTGAATTGATGTTTACTTATTGTTTTAAGTACTATTGGTTATTTCAATAAAGGACAAATTGTTGCTCCATTTATAGAAGTATTTCATATGATCAAATATTTTGCCTCACAAGCAAATACAACAACTATACCAAGGCTACAAAGTGCAAATATTAATCAGTTAATAAGTTTGTCACAAAATTATGAATAAAGTGATAGCCACTTAGAGATATAAGGATATCTTTATAAAGGTTATAACCAAGACCCTTTCTATTTAAATTTTCGAAATTTAAACTTGCCATTAGCATTAATAAAACACACTTAATAAAGATCAAGTGATATTAATGCCAAAGTTACATAATAGGAAAGACAAAAGTGATACGATCATGAAATTGACGTTCCCTCAAACGTTATTGAGATAACGTGACTAAAATAGTTAGTCTAATAAAGAGGATTATGTAACCTTGCCAAATACTACTGAACCTTAAGCACTAAAATGATCATTGTAGACTCTAAAAGGAAAGAGCACTTGGAAACTGTTCCAAAACGATTCCTTCCTTAAATAACAAGTAATGAAAGTAAGTCTCATATGAATGAAGACACTTTAAAAACTTATTATGGACGAGTCTATCAAGGATAAGAGAAGGGTTTCGAATTATCTATAAACAGTTATAGCACTTATATGTCTAGGATCCTAAGTCTTATTAAAGACTAGTGGGAGCACAATAAGTATGTTGCATATCATTGACAAAATAAATTAAAACTTATCAGTCATGAATGCAGATAATAGTTATGTGCTCAAGACTAAAGAATCCATATAGATGGATTAAAGAACTAGGAATAATCTAAGACTAGTACATACATGGAAGTTTTTTAGACTTGCATGAATCTCAAGGTAAAGCCTTTTTGGAGACTCACTCTGTAAAAGGACCGCATGGAAATCGTTCCATGGAGTACCATGAGATATGGACTTGATTCATTCTAAAAGGATATATTTTATATATGTCTAAGCTGAGCTAAGAGTAGTAGTAAACTTTGTAAAAGTTAACTTTTGATTCTTAAGAAGAGACAAAGGAGTATGGTTTTCTAAAATGACTTAAGTGTGAATGTTACACACAAAATAGCTCATTTAGAACAACCATAAGGTAGGTTGAAATTAACAAAACGTATATTGACAAGTATTGACATGGTGTCATACGCATATAAGTAAGATAAATTTGCAACTTTGGAAGTAGCAAAGAGGAAGATGTTTTGGTTTTGATAGCTTCTCAAAAGGATAGCGTTGCTCCCAGCATAAGAAACCAATATGTCGTTGTACTGACAACGATAGGGTTACTACAGCAGCTAAAGAAGCTACACCTAGAAACCAAGACGTCATTAGATCTCACCACATTATACGAACAGTCGTAAAATGAAAGTATCAAAATTTGCAAGATAGAAAAGGATAAACAATCTCTTAACCTATTGACCAAGTCTTTGGGAAAACCTATACACGAGGGTCACACTTCGTGCATGAGGCATACATGGAAACCATAATTGGCCTTAGTGCTAGGGGGAGATTGTTGAATATAAGTGAGCCAGAGGCCAACTTATGATTCATATCTATATTATATCAAGAACAATAGGCCCTAAAGATTGTTTAAGTTGTCTCGTGTAATTTAAACATAGCTTTAGTCCATAGAGTAGGCGCTCTAGTAACATAGATGAGAAGTACGACGTTCTAATTATGAGGCTATTACAAAGATAGAGGCAACGCCTAAAATATCCTTAGTCGAATATTATGACAATACGGACATCATAATATATCAAGACTAATACGTATGAGATGAGATAACTGCGTCTCATAGGCTATAGATAAAGTGTTATCTGAATCTATACGTAGGCAACCATATTGGATATGTTGCTGGATTGACCCGCTATGAGAATAATATATGGGTTTGAGTTAAAGTGTTAATATTATTCTCATGCGACCATTAGTATAACTATCCTTTGACTTGAAGTCATTACATTCTTTGGTAAGTTGAGTTGTATGCTTTGAGGCATGATTTATGCCATCTGAAACATTGGTGGATGTACAATTATGTTTTGGGTATGCAATGAAACTTAAGCGAAGATGTGAATGACGTAGGCAGAATTTATCCCTTCTTTAATGAAGTATAATATCTTAGGGCCCACTGATTGATGTGACTTGGGAGTGCATGGCCATGCCCAAATAAATATGTTATTTGAATTCCACAAGTCAATCGAAGAATCAGTAAACCATCGATTTAACTTTAACAAGGTGACACACCCCATACCTTGTGTTAAATCAAGATATTAGTGATAAAGGGATAAGGGTTATACAAATAGGATGTGTCGTTGAAGGAATTGTTCCAAGAGCTTTAATCTATAATTTGGGGGTGATAATGTGTTGCTAGAAACCGCTTATCAATTGTAGCATTTAATCGATACTGTGACCAATTTTATGAATGCCTAGAATAGGGTCCCACACATAGAATATATGAAAGTGTAGAATATTTAAGTGGAGTAAAGTTGCACTTTATTTCTATATTGTGTATATTATATTGTGTGACAATATGATTAGATACACAAACACATATATAAATAAATATTTATATTTGGACATTTTAATTATGTGATAATTAAGTTTGTCAAATATATTTAATGATAATAAAGTATATATATATTCGGATATATATATATATATGTGTGTGTGTGTGTGTGTGTGTGTGTGTGTGTGAATAATAAATTGTTTATTATTTTAGTATTATTATTAAGGCACGAAATATATATTTATATATATTTAATATTTGGACATTTTAATTATATGATAATTAAGTTTGTCAAATATTATTTTAGGAACAAAATATAGCATTATTATATTTATATATGTATATGTGCGTGAATATTATATTTACATATATCGCCGTATCCAGCTCAATACCTCAATTAAATCCAGGCTTAGATCAGCCAATAAGAGCTCAAATCACTCAGTTTCCCAATGAATGCTCTTTTTTGGAATGTTTGTGGTATCAAGTCTTCCCTCAATAGACTTATACTTCTCAAGAAATGCTATAATTTCATTTTCCTAGCTGTCTTTGAACCTATTGTGGAGGAAAAAAAACTGGACTTTTACAAACTCAAGCTTGGCTTCAATCATGGATTTTCAAGTCAATTTAACAAATGTTGGATCTTCTGGGATAGTGATAAACTCGGTTTATCTCAGGTACAAGAAGGTGAACAAGTTACTACCTGCCTTTTCAATTTTGTGGAAACTAAAGCCCCTATATTTATCAGCTCAGTTTATG